GGCGTCAGAGCCAGCTTCTGCTGCTGCTGCTGCTGCTGCTGCTGCTGCTGCCCTGTGACGTCTCGTGCTGCTGCAAGCATTTGCTGCGGGGTATTTGAAAGGGCTTGCTGCAGCTGCTGCTGCCGCTGCAGCTCAGCCGCAGCATCCTGCTGCTGCTGCTGCTGCTGCTGTTGCAGTGTCTGCAGCCTGTGTGCTGGATCATCCCCAGCCGCAGCGGCAGTTGTTGCATTTGTTGCAGCAGCAGCAGCAGCAGCTGCTGCTGCAGCAGCAGCAGCGTTTCCCGTTTCGGTTAGCGCCGGCGCAGCTCCTGCTGCCTGCGTNCAGCTGCTGCTGCAGCAGCAGCAGCGTTTCCCGTTTCGGTTAGCGCCGGCGCAGCTCCTGCTGCCTGCGTCCCCCCAGGAGCAGCAGTATCAGCAGCAGGAGCAGCAGGATGCGGGGCAAGAGCAGCAGCAGCAGCAGCAGCAGCAGGAGCAGCAGCAGGAGGAGAAGGGTGTGAAGCAGCAGCAGTTTGTCTTTTGATAGCTAGCCGCGCCTCATTGACAGCAGCAGCAGTGCTGTGCTGCATGCAGAAGACAGCCCGCCAGGTTATATCCTGGCCGAGGCCCTCTGCTTCACCTGTCCATACACTGCAGCAGCAGCAGCAGCAGCCTGCTGCTTTGGCGCAGGTTACATGCATGCGGCGGCAGCAGCCAGGGTAGCTGCATGCAACAGGGAAGCCCCCAGCCCCACAGAAGCAGCAGCGCCAGCCCATCGCAGCAGCAAGAGACACAGATGCAGCAACAGCAGCAGGAGAGTCCAGCTGCAGCTGCAGCCGAAAGTAAGGGCCCCCAGCAGCAAACAGCACGCAGCAGCTGTGCACCCACAGCCGCTCCTCACCGACCCTCATCGCGCCCCCACCCCGCAGACACAAACGACAAACTTCATCCCCGCTGCTGCTGCTGCTGCTGCTGCTGCTGCTGTTGCTGCTGCTGCTGCTGCTGCTGCTGCTGCTGCTGGCTGCTGCTGCTGTTGCTGGTTGCTGCTGCGCAGAACCGCCGTCGCCGGAGGAAACAGCAGATGCTGCAAGGGCCAATGGGCCCTGATGTTGCTGTATCTGCTGCTGCTGCAGCTGCTGCTGCTGCAGCTGCTGCTGCTTCTGCTTCCAGCTACAAAGACAACAAAACCAGGGCGCCTGCGGCAGAGCATAGAGAGAATAACAATACTGATGCACAGCAGCACCGCAGCCGCTGCAGAGGACGATGCTGTTGTGGGGCTCTGAGCCCTTCACCAGACACACGCTGCACTCTACATCCTCTGCTGCTGTTGCTGCTGCTGTTGCTGCTGGAGCTCCCGCTGCTGCTGCTGCTGCTGGGGAAGCTGCTGCTACAGCTGCAGGAGACAGAGCTGCTGCTGCTGCAGATGAAGAGACAGCTGATGAGCTGCCGCGACGCACGAGCCCCACATGGCCCTGCTGCTGGGAGGAGCCACCGGCTGCTGCTGGTGTTGCTGCTGCTGCTGGTGCTGCTGCTGCTGGTGCTGCTGCTGCTGCTGGTGCTCCTGCTGCAGCTACAGGAGTGCTGTTGACGTCTTGAACTGCAGCTGAAGCCTTCCCTCCATGTGCTACTGGGGACGGCTTGCTGCTGCTGCTGCTGCTGCTGCTGCTGCTGCTGCTAGACTCCGCAGCAGCAGCGAGGCTGCGCGGGGACTGTCGCATCCCATTCGTTGCAGCAGCTCTGCTGCTCTTCCCTCCAGGCGGCGTTGCTTCTAGTGAAGATGAAGCAGCAGCTGCAGGGCTGCTGCTGGCCCCTGAGTGCTGTTGTAGCTGCTGCTGCTGCAGCTGTTGCTGCTGCTGCTGCTGCTGCTGCTCCTCCTCCTCCTCTAGCAAATGTCGCCGCAGCGTTGCGCGTATGGCTGCCCATCTGCTGGTGCGGTCTCAGCCGCAGCTGCAGCAGCAGCAACGGGGACGAGTATATCCTTAGCTGCCTCAGAGTATCTGCTGCTGCTGCTGTTGCTTCTGCTGCTGCTGCTGCTGCTGCAGCTGCGCGTTGTCAGTGGCATCAGCAGCAGCTGGTGAGCGCCAGAGGGGCCCCGCCTGTGTTGCTGCACGGAGCCCAAGGTCTCTTTAGAGCTTAAGAGGATGCAATGCTCTTACTGAGCCGCTTTGCCGCAGCACGCAGCACCTAAGAAGCGTCTGCTGCTGCTGCTGCTGCTGCTGCTGCTGCTGCGGATCCTGTTGCAGACGGGGAGAGTGCAGCTTGCTGCTCTCTCCCTCAAAAGACAGACAAAGAAAGTACAAAACTATAGATTAGTTGCAGCAGCTCCTGCTGCAGCCGCTCTCAAGTCCTACCGCCGCATGCATATACCGCGCAGCCAGCAGCCGCAGCCGCAGCAGCAGCAGCAGCAGCAGCAGCAGCAGCAATAACAGATGCTGCAGCAGCAGCAGCAGCAGCAGCTTCCGTTCCCAAATTTGTACTTCTGCAACGATTTTTCATGAATTTGTTTGTTATATGCAAAATATATTAATTAAAACGCATAAACTAGCCATCAGTCTGCAGCAATAGTGCGAACAACCCTGCAGTGCTGTATGCAAGAGCAGCAGTAGCACAGCAGCAGCAGCGGCAGAGCTGGCAGCAACTAGCAGCAGGTGCAGCAGCTCTTATTCTGGTTGTTGTTGTTGCTGCTGCTGCAGCTGTTGTTGTAACCCAAGCCTGCTTCAGCTGTTGCTGCGGCAGCACCCGCAGCAACAGCTGCAGCAGTTGTTAGTATGTAACATGAGTTAGCGCAGAGTTAGCTCAGGAGCCTATCGACAGCTTTGGCATGCTGCGCGTAAG